TACTCTTGCCTAGCATGTTTGAGGCACTGGGTTTGATTCTCAGCACCACATAAATGTAAAATAAAGATGGTGTGTCCACCTGAAAAAATAAATATTAAAAAAAAAAACTCAAGTGTCATAGCTATGCTATGCTGTCAAAATTGTCCCCCATTGAGGCTCTATGAAAGAGAATGGTTAATTTCAATACCTCAGATAGTAGTTATCACAAATCCCATTGAAAATTTTTATGTAACTTTCCTTGTCTTAAAATTGTGCGTGAAATTTTAAGATATTCACACATTTCAAAGTACTCATTCTTAACCTGAATCAACATTTGAACAGGAAGGCTTGCTTACTGCTCACAAATAAACAGGCCAACGAGTGACAGTATTCCTTATTGAACATACTTGTATTTTCTGCTAAAACTAGATGCAACCATCTTTGAAAACAGAACTACTAATGGCCATTGCCACTCAGATTTGGCATTCACAATGTTAGTGAATGTTAGTTCATTCTTAGAGTCTTTAAATAACTTTTCAAGGCTGATGTGTTAGAAAGTACAGATTTAAAAAATAGAGGGGCTGAGGGTTATTATAGCTGATAGACTGTTATATAAGTGATAGAGTACTTGTCTAAGCATGTACATGGGTTCCATTCTCAGCCCCACAAGAAAAGAAAGTTCTTTATCAGCAAGTCAGCTGTATTTTGTCATATTTTTGTGTTTGAAAATATTCATTTTGGCCTTATTTTACTGTTTGAAAATTTGAAATGCGTTAAATTTCTTTTTACTGTAAAGCTTTGTAGTTAAAAATAATAATGATGTTTTTTATTTTTAGTTGAGATGTAATGATTATACATATTGATAGGGTACTGTGACATTTCAATACATTTATTTACAGTATGTAATGATCAGTCAGGGCAATAAGCATGTCTGTCACCTCACATGTTATGGTTCCCGTGTGTTGGCAGCACTCAAAATCCTTTCTGCTAGTTATTTGAAATTCAATTGATTGTTGTCAACCACAGTTACCTACTGTACTAAAATAGAAAACAAGAAAAAAGAAAACTTAGTGGTATAGTTATTAAAATCAAAACAAGTTTATGAGCATTATTTGAACCAAACTGAAAGCAGTCCAGATGCCTATCAACTGGTATGAATGGGTAAAGAAAATGTCATACATCATAAAATAAACATTTTAATCAGTAGTAATAAAAGTAACAAGTTACCAGTAGACAATAATGTGGAAGAACCTGACTCATTGTGTGTATATGTGTGTGAGAGAGAAAGATAGACACTGGGGGTTGAACCCAGGGCTTTGCATTTGTGAGGCAAGTGCTCTACCACTGAGATACATCTCTAGCGCCTCATTTTAGCAACAAGTAATATTCATGGATAAAGGTAGAAATGGGGAAATGTCCTACCTATCATTAAGAAATGCAGCTTCCACCACCAATTCAGTTACCTTTATTTGTGAGATAAGGAAATAAAAAAATTACTTTAAAAAAAGGCAATTCCCATAAATGTTGCCTTTTAATATTTAATGTTTTTAAATGGTGATTTTATGTTGGTTTAGTCAGTTGTGTTATGTTTGGGGTTTCATCACTCTAAAAGATTGCCTGTGACTAAGGTGGTCAATCCCACCTCTACTCCCAGGAGAGGAAGGATAGGGAACTAGGTGCTGTTTCCCTTGATGCACCATTACTGGACAGATTTTTAGATTGTGTTTCAGTTTCTTGGTAAACATGAAACATTGACTCTTGCAGTTTGAGTGAGTGTCCTCGTCCATAGGCTTCCATTTCTTAGAAAACAGTGACATTTGGGTTTAGGTTTTTTTGGTAGCTAGTTTATTTTGTAAGGCTCTATGAAAATCTTAGCCACTATAGGCTTTAAAAATTAATTCATCCCTAAAATAAATTTCTCTAATAGTGTATTTCCTAAATAGGTTCTTATTTTCTAAAGGTCAGTTTTTAAAATGGGATTGGTTATTTAAATAGTCTTTCCTATCCTACTGTTAAACATTTCCTTGTATTGAGGGACTTAGTAATTAGTTGGTGTAGATCTGGCATTACAGAACATAAGTAGCTAACAGATTCCTGAATTCTACAGCATATTTCTTTCAGTCTTTTTGAGGTTTGTGGAAATTCTTGACGATCAACTAAGTTCTAGACCAGAATTTAAATTCAGTTTCTATACATAATGCCTTCTATTCCAGCAGTTTGGAGGGGCTTTTGTATAATTGTTTCTTTCTAAGAAACCCACAAAAAAGGTAGTTTATTTCACAGATAAGGGGGAGAAGGAGCAGGAGGAGGAGGGATAGAAAGAATATGTACATAGTATAAAAAGAATGATTCAAGATTTCTGAAGGTTTGAACAGAGGAAAGTATCTTAGTCATTTTTAGTTTGAGGCTTCAGAATACCAGTTGAAGTTGATTACTAAACGAGCACAGTGATATACACCTGTAATCCCAGCTGTTTTGTGGGCTGAG